TCTTGGGCAGGTGATGACCTTGCCCTACTGCCAAATAAGCGCTAGGGATAAGAATTATTCTTACCTTGACAGAATGGCAATTTAACTCCTGCCCATTCCTTATTGTGTCAAGTCACTATCTGTGGATTTTTTTAAAGAATAGAATATCTTTTATTGTTATATGTACTCAAGTACAGGAGTAGGGTGAAACATTTTACAATGTTGCCTCTTATGGCGCAATCTGAGGAACAAGTACTTGGGTAGAAATCTTCGATACAAAAGAATAAAAAAGGAAAGTAGTTGCACTACTTTACAATGTTTAAAGAATAAGTTAGAAATAAGACATATTTAAAGGATTGACTTTACAGTCAGATTAAAAAAAAAGTCAAATAAATATTGCATTGCAGTAGCTGAGTGCAGGAACTTCCACACCTCTGACCCCCTGCACCAGGTCCCAGTCTAACAACCATCCTGTTCTGCATCAGCTCTCAGCTGCTCCAAGGTGAATTTTCTCCAGGACTGCTTCCCCTTGCTTGTCTCCATCCAGGACTCGCTCTCCGTGCCAGCAAGTTGCTGGAAAGAAGACTGAGGCTGAATGTCACTTGCTTACAGTATACTTGCTGTCAGCCCCTGTTGACAATGAGGGACATGATGTGGAGGTGCTGGTGTTGGACTGGGATGGACAAGGTCAGAAATCATACAACACCAGGTTATAGTCCAACAGGTTCATTTGAAGCCACAAGCTTTCGGAGCTTCACTCCTTTTTCAGGTGTTAGTGGGAGAGATAGTATCAGACATAATTTTTAAGTAAAAGATACTACCTCTCGAAGGAGGAGTGTGGCTCGGAAAACTTGTGTTTTCAAATAAACCTGTTGGACTATAACCTGGTGTTGTGTGATTTCTGACAATGAGGGATTAACAGTATTGTTAACATTCTGGCCAGGAGAAAATGCTGCAGACATATATGAACAGATGGCTTTGAAGGCATGTTGCCTTGTACTCTGTTTGCTCATTTTAATTACACAATAAAAGTTTACCCCATATCTTAAAACATATGCTGCTATGAATTGAGGCTCCTTTGTGTGGTGTGGGAGTTGTGTTAAAATGAGGAGGAGAGGAAGAGGGAAGTATCTTAATGAAAATATACAGTTGGGTTTTTCCTTCATAATTTTATGAAACTGAATTCACTAAAACCTTACCTTAAATTGAGCAGTCAAGAAACATGGTGCACAATGTAAGAAAATTTGGCTGATGCAAGAAATGATTTTGAAATTCTTCTTCCACTAAACACATTGAGATATTATTTAGTGCTTAGTTTCTCTTCTGTATTGGACTTAATTTAGTGTAAAGTCTTGAATGGGTCTGAGTCAGGTCATTTAACTGGTCATTGTAAGATGTATATAATTGCTAAAGATTCTGTAAACATAAGTGGGAGTGTAGTTACAAGTTAGGAAAGGGCTTCTGTACTTTTGTACGGTAGGAGCAGAATCTTGCTGCAGTCCTGAGCCCATAAACTAGATGCTGTGGTGCATGGTAGTGATCTGGAAGCAGCCTCACTTAAAGGCTGTAAGCTGCAGGATCCTTGTATTGATTATTTGAAGTTAATTATTGACCAGTGATTGGAGTTCGTAACTCAAGGTGGTGGCAAATAAAAAGAATTCATAGAATTCCAACAGTGTGGAAGCTGGCCATTGGGTCCACACTGACTCTCCAAAGAGCATCCCACCCAGACTTACCACCCCGCCATCATCCCTGTAACCTTACATTCCCTATGGCTAATCCATCTAACCTGCACATCTTTGCATTGTGAACGAAACTCAAACACCTGGAGGAAATCACGCAGACACAAGGAGAATGTGCAAACTCCATGCAGTTAGTCACCCAAGGGTGGAATTGAACCTGGGTCCCTGGTGCTGAGAGATGGAAAATTTGAACTGTCATTTGGTTGACATCAAAAAAGAAAATATCCAGATGAGTTGAAATTTGTACATTCATCTTTCACTTCCTGGTGGAAACACATGGATGAGGGTGGATTGTCCAGCTACTGAGGCAAAAGGAACTTAATGTTTTGATGACACATGAGCTGCTTAATTAATATGGAATAAAGAACTAGTATTACTTATTTGCATAGTATTTACAAGAATGAAGCAGGCAGTGAGAGTCAACTAGTCTGTGCTAGTGTTTGTGCTGTGCACAAGCCTCTTCACATCTTTCCACACAAGTTCAACAGGTCATATGATTACTTCCTCCCTCATGTGTTTACTTAGCCCATCATTAAATGCATCGCTGGAATTTGCATGAACTGTTTCTTGCAAATTGCACATTCTAACTACTCTGGGAAAAGAGTCTCATGAGGCAGCAAAAGGAATATTAGAAAATTGAAGTATATGGTAAGAGTTAGGTGTGTAAAAAGGTGAGGACTGGAAAAAAAGACTGTTTTGCTCCAGGGAGACAGAGGGGAACAAAAGATTAGTGTAATGAATATAATGATTGCCCCACACCTTCGGCAAAACCACCGCTCTAGGACATAAGTCACCTGTCCTTTCACTCAGTGGTATGAACATTTGTTTTCCATTCAGTATTGTGTGACTGAAACTAGCATATTTCTAAACTGGCTTGTTGTCAGTGGAGGGAGTGTAACAAAACTGTGATTCTGGTTAGAATGTAGAGTCTGCCAGTATTAGTAAGCAGGTCCATTATTCTAGTAGATTGCAAGACTTATACAAGGCTACCAGTAGTTCGCTGTTGCAGTCTTGTGGGTTTATTTCTCCAACCTTGGTTAACTGTTGCTTCTACTCTTGAAAGTTAAACAGAAATTAAATGGAGTGCTTCTCAAGTATGTTTCTGCTACCTTGGAAGGTTTGTTTGGGAAATGCTGCACTTGCTATGGAACTGAGCAGCAGAGACAAGGTGATCACTGAATTTGTTAAATGCAGAGTGAGACAGATTCTTGATAGTCACAGGAGTTAAGGGTTATGGAGAGCAGATGGAAACATGATCTTATTGAATGATAAATTGGGCTGAATGGTCTAAATTTTTTGCTGTTCAGACAGACTTTTGGTTTTGGGGTACGTTTGGTCAACCGTATACATTGAGGTGAAATGATGATACAGCTGGGCTGTATTAAAACCACCTCGCTGCCCTCCCATGACAATGAATAGGCAATAAATGCCAGTCATCCGAGAATCCTTCATCTAAACTGAAAATTATAAAGTAAAGACCTGCATCTTTAGGAAAGAAAGAACATTCAAAGAATCAGAGAAGTTTTTTTTCCTGTTGTCCAAGCCTGAATCCAGCCACTAACCATGGATTGTCTCTTATGGTCGTAACTTAATACTTACCTTTTTGACATATAACTCGTGCAAGGTGTTCAGGTCTCAAAGTGGGGTAAAGGAACGAGATCGATACCAGACAGATCATAAATTACTGTCTGTTAATTGCACGAGGAAAAAAAAAGTGTTGCTGTTTAGACAGACCTTTGGTTTCAGGAGAAAATTTGATGATCGCTAAACAATAGGATAAGATGATCAAATTGTAACCAAGTATGTTGGTCCTAATAGTCAATGTTTTTGATGTACATTTGTAGTTTGAAATTAAATTCAGGATGACATTTTCAACTGTCAAGCATCCATGTTTTCCTTTTCAGTTGTTAATTCATTAGCTAATATAAAACTGATTGATGAAGAAAAGCTTAGAAACCTGAAATGCAGACAGAAAAGGCATAGCAAATCCATCTGCACTTGGAAGCATAAAGATAATTTTGAGGAAGATGCTTTGTTTTATATTTTTTTAAAAAAGTGTCACTTGCCTTCAATTGATATCCAAAAACGTGGCTGGAATTCCATCTTTTCCCTTCTAGTTTCTTTGGAATTTCTCCTGATCTTCCCTCTTTTCAAATTATTCTGATACCTGCTTTTAAAGGAGCATGATGTTGAGACAACTGGTTAGGGGCTCTGGTATCTGAATCAGTTCTGATGAATGGAATTCAATTGAAACATCTTTTTTCTATTGTTGGTAGATCTGCTGTATGTTTCTGACTAGCTGTCTTATTTTGCCCTTATATTTATCACTATTTATCAAGTGATTTTGGTAGAAAATGCTCTGTACATTGTGACCCAATGACTATCTGCACAGATGTGCTTGATTTTATTTTACTGTTATATCTTTTCTTTCCCCTCATGGCCTACAACCTTTTAACAAACTAGTGAATTCAGAGAACTTCATGTGTGCAATTTATATTTTATAAAAAATAACCTGGAAAGGATGCAGATTATGACTATATTACGCATGTTCAGAAGAAAAGGTGTCAACATTTGAAAGAAGCAGTTTCTTGCTTGAATGAAACGTGTCCTGTCCTTGCATCGAGCCTCATGGCCTATGAGGGAAAGAACAGCCAGCAGTCATCAATCAAAAGCATGACTTGGCAGGGAGCATATGTGAGCGTGCCCCAAACATGTCATGCTGAGAACAAGTAGAACAAGAACGGTGTGGTGCTGAAGATTTTAACAGGTTTAGCTAGGTTAGGTAAGGAAAGGCTGTGCCCAATTGCTGATTGTACAAAGGCTATGACAGAAAAGATTTAAGATTTTAGACAAAAGAAATTAAGGGGTTGTAAGGAAGAAATGCTTATTACATGAGCATTAGTAATGATCGTGTTGCTGATGATCAATGATTTAGAAAGATGTTTGGATAGAGTGGGAGAATAGGACTGACTGGATTGCTGAATAGACTGAAGGGTGTTGAATAGTCTCTTGTGCCTTCGGGACTCTGGAAAACACAGGTGCTGACAGTAGAATGCTCGATAATCGCTTGGTAGCTCAGAATATGAATATTTCTGGCGAAATGGTTGCTGAAGCTTTTTGTCCTGACCTTAGGATGAATGGCAGTTTATAAAAGTGATCTCTAACTTGTGTAAATTGTTAAGCTATTATCATTAAAGGGATTGGTCCTACGCTTGAAATTAGTTGAAAATAAATCAAGGACTACTTGGACGGTCCCTTCAAAGAGCTTGTATAGGCCTGATGGGTGGAATAGCCGCCTTCTGTACGGGATGTGTTCTTCCCAGCCTCCAGGTGGCGGTGTCGCACTCTATTCAGCTCCGTTAGTGGCCATGCGTGGCCGCCCGAGCACCTTGTCGACAGTACACTATGGTGACAGCGGCGGGGGCAGGTCACAATGTGCGGCCCGAACGGAGCGAGGGAACGGGAGAGAACCGGGGGCCGAGCACCGAGTGAGGGAGTTTTGGAGGATGAATTACCAGCCGGTCCCCAGCGAAGAGGCGGCCCATGGAGCCAGGCGCCACAGCCAGGAGCACAGCTCGACTCATGCTGTGAAAGACTTCAGACTCGGTAATATCACGGTCCAAGGGCCTCAGGGTAGAACATAGAACATTACAGCGCAGTACAGGCCCTTCGGCCCTCGATGTTGCGCCGACCTGTGAAACCAATCTGAAGCCCATCTAACCTAAACTATTCCATTATCATCCATATGTTTATCCAATGACCATTTAAATGCCCTTAAAGTGGGCGAGTCTACTATTTTTGCTGGCAGGGCATTCCACGCCCTTACTACTCTCTGAGTAAAGAACCTACCTCTGACATCTGTCCTATATCTATCACCCCTCAATTTAAAGCTATGTCCCCTCGTGCTAGCCATCACCATCCGAGGAAAAAGGCTCCCACTGTCCACCCTATCTAATCCTCTGATCATCTTGTATGTCTCTATCAAGTCACCTCTTAACCTTCTTCTCTCTAATGAAAACAGCCTCAAGACCCTCAGCCTTTCCTCATAAGACCTTCCCTCCATACCAGGCAACATCCTGGTAAATCTCCTCTGCACCCTTTCCAATGCTTCCACATCCTTCCTATAATGTGGTGATCAGAACTGTACGCAATACTCCAAGTGCGGCCGCACCAGAGTTTTGTACAGCTGCAACATGGTAGGGGAACGGGAAAGGAGAAGAGAGGCTGGATCTTCAGGGGTGGGGAAGGAGAAGGGTCTTGGGATAACGCAGTGTAGAGCTGGATGAATACAGCAGGCCAGGCAGCATCAGAGGAGCAGGAAAGCTGACGTTTCGGGTCAGGACCCTTCTTCGGAAATGGTGCTAATAACGCCGAGGTCATAGGTTCAATCCCCACACTGACCAAGTCGGGTCTTGGGAGTCAGGTTTCCAGGGGTTTGGGGGTGGGGAAAGAACATGGTAAGGGGAGGTTGTAGGGGGAGAGCGTGGATTGAGGGAATGGGGTGGGAGTCCGGTTTGAGGGGAGGGATGGTGAGGGTGGTGATTGGTGCTGACCACAGAGCAAAAGTTCAAGTACTGACTGGACTGTCTTGCTGAGTAGGGTACTGGTCATAATGAGGGTAGTCCTTACTTAATAGTACATAGATTTATTGTAAACAAGACTTTATTCAATAATTATACACCAATCCAGTTTTTGTAATTTTGTTATAAAGTTATGATAGTTTATAAACATTAAGTTTTTAATCGTTTTTCGATATGAGGTTCAGTGTTATAAAATTTAAAAATGTCTAAATTATAATCCAGAAAGAATTGACGCTTTCTAGAGTGAGGTAAAATTGGCATTTTATTCCTCACTAAATGGATTTCTCTTTTCCCTTGAACCTATCCCTTTGCAACCTGCTCCCGAGGTCATTTATTACCAGCTAGTTCTGTCTGTTTTGGACTTTTCTGATTTTTCTCCTTGTTTCCCCACCCTACATCTTTTACTTGGATCAAGAACTGGATGGAGAAAGGATTAAGCCTATGTTTGCATTATTTACTGTGTGTGTTAGACTTGGGAGCAGATGATGTCAAATCAAGGCTTTGGTTTTAAAATCAAAATAAGTAATTGTCACTACTGATGGATGTCACTTGACTTTTGCACCTGAGACACATGATGCACTTAGGCATGTGATTTTTTTTTTAACATTCAGTCAGAGCTATCATGCTCTGGAAGAGGGGAAACATGTTGTTTACCAGCTTATGTTGTAATGTTTGAGAAAGCTGATTTGTTGAAAGGAATAATTAGTTTAGTAGTGAAAAAGAAAGTTTAAGTGGATTTCTGCAGTGCAGAGCAGAAGGCTGAATAATTTCTTTCAAAGTGCTTGCATTCAAATGATGGGCTGCATGATCCCCTTGTAAGCTGTGAAGATATCTGTGGATAGAAATACCAACATACATTACAAGTCTCTTGGATAAAACTTAATAGGACAGAAATGGGATGTTTGGTTCTTTGTACTGATGTTCATACTGCATGCAAGTCATCACCAACCCTTCTCAACCTAACCCAGTCAGCATAGACCTGTTCCTCTTCCTTTTTTTTTTAATATATCTTCCCCTTAAATGTACTACGTCACAAACATCCACTCCCTGCACTACTGATGCACAGTATCAACAATGTGTGTTACAAATTCACTAAGGCTTCTTAGACAGCACCTTAGAAAGACAGTACTGTCTAGAATGACAAAGGCAGCAGGAACATGGGAATACCACCCTAACTGCAAGTTCTCCTCCAAGTCACACTCTCCCATCTGCACTTGGAAATATACCGCAATTTCCATTACGGAGTCAAAATCCTGTAACACTCTGCCTAAGAGCATTATGGTTATACCAAATGGACTGCAGCAGTTCAAGATGGAAGCCCACCTTCTTCCTCCACCCCCATGGTAGTTAAGGCTGGGTAATAAATGTGGCCAGCAAAGTTCACATCCCCTTAATGAATTAAAATAAATGTGTCTTTGCCATTTGCCTTGACTTTTCATTTGTAGTAGCCAGATCCATGTTCTTACCACTCTTTGGATGAAGAGGTTAGCTTCTGTGATATAATGCAGATGAATGTTTTATGGGTTTTATCTTGAAATTCCTTTAGCTGATTGTTGATCCAATTATGTTAACTCAGTTAATAACAAAATAATACAGGGATGCCCACATGACTGCAATTATATCTGTAATCCCACAGTTTCAATGCAATTGTGAACGTTGTAATTGGCTTCAGGAATAAATGGCTCCATCATGATAGACAAATCCATGCCACGTGAGCTGAAATCTGATGTAAAATGAAATGCAGAGAAAGAGAAGAATTGCATTTAAATAGTGCCTGTCAATCCCATTGAATGTCCCAAAGTGCTTCAAAGGCAGTTAATTAATTTTGAAAAACATACTTCGTCCAGCATGCAGTCTAACATATTCCCGTAAAAGCCACAACAGAATCTTCCATCAGTGAATGTAGGTCAGGCTAAGATGGACTAAGTCATTTATTGTCAAAATACATGATTATATGGAAGTACTAATAAATCAGATTTTCAACCCGTCCTCTGTTATTGACATTCGTATAATCTGTCATTCTTAAAACATGTTTTATATTTTTGTTAGGCTTAATAACAAGGGGTTTGAAACAAAAGGCAGGCAATTGGTGTTGAATTATACTGCAGCCACTGAATGAGAAGAGGATCAGGGGGCAAAGGGCCTTTCCTGTGTTAATGAGCAAGATAATTCCAGCAGTCTGAAAAACATCCTGACTTTACAGTCAAGTTCTTCACATGATTCTGGTTACAATTCAACATGCCAACAATTTGTCTTTTTGAAACAAAATGAAACCTGTCACTGTATATTTTGCCTCAATTTCTCACTCTAAATCTGCTCTCCTTTTTAAAATCTTGCCCCCCACACCTTTTAGGTAATACTCAGGGCTGCCCAGAGTTGGTGTGCAGTTGGATTCTGATCGTCCTTGCTTGTATCTTTATGGTCCTCACTTTTCCAGTCACAGGCTGGTTTGTGCTAAAGGTACGTCAAACGACATGGCAAGTCTGATTTGTCCTTTTCCTTTGTTTCTACGGTGGCTTCTGTAGGAAAACATAGAGAGCAGGAGGTCCTAGGTTACCAGGCAGTGCTGAATTACCAGGTTATAGTTGGGACACCAGCTGCACAAGGGCTGGAAAAGTTCAACAAGTACGTCTGTTCATAACGGGTGATATCTACTCGCAAATGTGTGTTGACACTAAGTGAGAAGACCGTTGGGTTCATCTGTGGTGCTGAGTTCCAATTACAACAGAAAAATATTTCCTTGAAATATGATGGCAAAAGGATATCCTATACTTCTACATCTCTTTATATCACTGTGTGCAATGAGTTAGCTTGAAGACAGTAACTGTTATGGAAGCAGTGATGTTGCATGTAGTAAAGATCCTACAAACAACAGTAAAAATGTGCGTGAAGGACGCTAGTTCAGTTACTGTTATTTGAAGATGTATTGACTAAGCCAGCAGGGAGCCCTGGTGCTGTTCAGTTAGTGCCTTAATATCACTAACTTCTACCTTGCTGTTAGGGATGGGTGATAAATCCTCGTTTAGCCAGTGACATTCTCATCCCATGCGTGACTATTTGAAACATACCTCATTTGGATTTTGGACATGTGGAGGGCCAGGCACCCAGAATTTGCAGCTTCCATCCTCTGCCCACTTGCCTTCCTGATAACTTGCCGGTTCTCCAATAACCCAGCAACCACATTTTCAGAAATTAGCAATTATCAGAGTCCAAATATCAAATAAACTCAGCCTTGAATTTTCAGAAATTTGAATAAGACCTGAAATGCTGGGATGGTCAGGTTTCATGACCTGAGACTATAGTTTCCATTGAATCAGAGATAGTAGGAACTGCAGATGCTGGAGAATCCGGGACAACAAGGTGCAGAGCTGGATGAACACAGCAGGCCAAGCAGCATCATAGGAGCAGAAAGGCTGACGTTTCGGGCCTGGACCCTTCATCAGAAATGGGGGAGGGGATGGGGGTTCTGAAATAAATAGGGAGAGAGGGGGAGGCGGATAGAAGATGGATAGAGGAGAAGATAGGTGGAGAGGAAACAGACAGGTCGAAGAGGAGGGGATGGAGCCAGTAAAGGTGAGTGTAGGTGGGAAGTTAGGGAGGGGATAGGTCAGTCCAGGGAGGACGGACAGGTCAAGGGGGCGGGATGAGGTTAGTAGGTAGGAGATGGGGGTGCGGCTTGAGGTGGGAGGAGGGGATAGGTGGGAGGAAGCACAGGTTAGGGAGGCAGGGACGAGCTGGGCTGGTTTTGGGATGCGGTAGGGGGAGGGGAGATTTTGAAGCTTGTGAAATCCACATTGATACCATTGGGCTGCAGGTCTCCCAAGTGGAATATGAGTTGCTGTTCCTGCAACCTTCGGGTGGCATCGTTGTGGCACTGCAGGAGGCCCAGGATGGACATGTTGTCTGAGGAGTGGGAGGGGGAGACAGCAACTCATATTCCGCTTGGGAACCTTGCAGCCCAATGGTATCAATGTGGATTTCACAAGCTTCAAAATCTCCCCTCCCCCTACCGCATCCCAAAACCAGCCCAGCTTGTCCCCGCCTCCCTAACCTGTTCTTCCTCCCACCTATCCCCTCCTCCACTTCAAGCCGCACCCCCATCTCCTACCTACTAACCTCATCCCGCCCCCTTGACCTGTCCGTCCTCCCTGGACTGACCTATCCCCTCCCTAACTTCCCACCTACACTCACCTTTACTGGCTCCATCCCCGCCTCTTCGACCTGTCTGTTTCCTCTCCACCTATCTTCTCCTCTATCCATCTTCTATCCGCCTCCCCCTCTCTCCCTATTTATTTCAGAACCCCCTTCCCCTCCCCGATTTCTGATGAAGGGTCTAGGCCGGAAACGTCAGCCTTTCTGCTCCTATGATGCTGCTTGGCCTGCTGTGTTCATCCAGCCCTGCACCTTGTTGTCTCTATAGTTTCCAGTGGTTTTTACTAAATCAAGTTCTGCTTTGATTATGCGATAAATCTGGAACTTGAATCTTATCTCAGCAATGGTGACCATGATGACTATGATTGACTTTTGTCAAAACCCATTTAGTTCACTAACACCCTTTAGAGAAGGAAACCTGCCACCGTTACCCAGTCTGGCATGTACGGAACTCCAGAGCTACAGCAATGTGGTTCGTCTTTGAACCTCTGAAATGGCCTGGTAAGCTGCTCAGTTCAAGTCAATGTGGGATAGGTAACAAAAACAACATAACTCTTGGGGGCCTGTGGTGGTGTTTGTGGACTGCAGCCTGAGGTTCTGCCCCATTTTTCAAATAAAACTACAAATGCTTTGTCTTGGTTGTGACTAAAGAGCAACTGTTAAATTGTAAATGCTTCATGTCAGATGGAAGGGACTGGTTCTTAACTAACAGCTGTTTCTGTTTGTAACTGCAGTCGGTGCCGAAGTATGAGCGGTTTGTTGTGTTCCGCTTAGGAAGGATTCTAGGCAGCAAAGGCCCTGGAATGATCCTCCTGTTGCCTTTCATTGACCGGTGGCAGAAAGTTGACCTCCGATCTAAAACTTTCATTATTGCACCATTTGAGGTATGTGACCTTGCCAGCTTTGATTTCAAAAGAAATAGGAGCAGGAGTAGACAATTTGGCCCAGTGAACTCTGCCGTTTAATATTATCACGGCTGATCTTGGATTTCGACACCACCTCCTGCCTGCTTTCCATGTCCCTACCTTCCTAAGAGACCAGAAATCTCTTTATTGCAGCCTTAAATAGTTCAACCTACTCTGAGGTAGAGAATTTCAAAGATTCACACCCCTTTGAGTGAAGTAATTTCTCCTCATCTCAATCCTAAATGATTGACCCCTTATCCTGAGGATCTCTGTTTTTGTATTCTTTGACCAGCAGAAACGATCTTTCAGCATCTACCCCATAAAACCTTCCTAGAAGCTAAATCCTAGGCACTCATTTGGTGGTCTTAGTTAACCAAATGCAAACAAACCACATGCAAACAATGTTTCTGCTGAGGATGTGAGACCATTGATGAAGTTGAAATGAAGCTGCGAGTGATACCACGACTATTAACAGCCCTAAAGCAAGGAACCACACCTTGAGCTTATAACATCTCTAGTGATATGCACCAGGTTGGAGTTTTGCATTTTTGGTATGATAGTTGGGTCCCGAAACTTTAACTTGTGCTCTTGGAATATTGACAGAGAATGAGCTGGCTTATAAGAAAAATCACATACTTTGTTAAAACAAAAAGTATGGTGGCTCAGTGGTTAGCACTGCTGCCTCACAGCACCAGGGACCTGGGTTCAATTCCAACCATAGGTGACTGTCTCTGAGGAGTTTGTACATTCTCCCCATGTTTGTATGAGTTTCCTTTGGCTGCTCTGGTTTCCTCCCACAGTCTTAAAAATGTGCAGGTTTGATGGATTGGCCATGCTAAATTGTTCATAGTAGCCAGGGATGTGCAGGCTAGCTGGATTACCTGTGGGAAATGTAGGGTTACAGGGGTAGGGTAGGAGGATGGATTTGGGTGGGCTGCTCTTCACAGGGTCAGTGCAGACTCAATGGGCCAAATTGCCTACTTCCACAATGTAGGGATTCTAAGAAGTGTTATGTTATTAAATTGTAGGTGTGTGCCACTTAAAGCCTCCACAGTCTAATTGCTGTAAAATAAATATAACAAAAGAAGCTAGAACAGAAGGAGGCCATGGGACCTGTTGAGTCAGCACCACCATCCAGCAGGGTCTTGCCTTAAATCTCTACTCCATTTTTCCATGCAGCCCCTATAACCCTCAATTATTAGAGTCCAAATATCAAATAAATTCAGCCTTGAACGTCCTTAATGATTGAGCATCCACAGCCAACTGGGTGGAAAATTCCAGAGATTCACCAGCCTTTGAGTGATTTGAGCCTTTCTCCTCATCTCAAATTGAAATATCTGATGTATTACTCTGTAACTCCCTGCTTCTAAACACTACAACTGAGTTGAGGTATTAGCCTCTCAGCATCTACTCTGACAAAAGTCTCCGAGAACTTTATAAAGTTCATTGCAATCACCTGTCATTCTCATTGGTCCGTTCTGTTCCAGCTGTGTCTGAACTACAGAGATGAATTAAAACACTGCAGACATTGAGTTCTTTGATTTCTTGAAACTTCATCATGTGTAGCATAGAAAGCTGACTGGGAGAAAGTTGTACACCAGACTTACATTTTATAAAGCAATAGGCAAAATGCAGTTATATTTTTATTAGTCTGTGTCAGAATCTCACCGAATATCATGCAAAAAAAATGCTAAACCTTCATCTCCTTCACACAGGCAAAATGTAAAGATGGAGCCCTGATCACTGTGGGTGCAGAAGTGCAGTACCGTATCTGGAATCCAGTCCTGTCAGTGGCACTAGTGGAGGATACTGACAGCACTACGGCTTACATTGCACAGAATGTAATGAGGCGCTTGATGCACAAGGAAACCCTGGCGCAAATCCAGGATAACAAAAGTAAAACTGGAGAAGAGTTAGCGGTGAGTATGGTGTCTCCTTTTTGCATTGGCTGCTGCGTCAAGCACTGACACCGGGGCTGCAGGAATTAACTGTAACTGGCTTGCAGTGCACTCACTTGCAGTTTTGCGGCTGTTAGAATTTCACTGTAAAATTGTGGCCTAACTAACTGAACAGCGTAGCTTTCTGTAAAGATCACTTCTTTTTATTGTCTTTAGTTTCAGGCTGTGGATTAAAAAAAATGAAGGAACTGCTTTTAAACCAAAGAGATGATTGTACTTTTGAAAATCATGTTTACTGGAGCACATTGAGTTGTATACAGTTTGCCTACAGTAGTGAGAACAGAAGCAGACACCACAGAGCTGATTGATTGTAGAGTCGTAGAGCACAGAATCAGACCCTTCAGTCGAACCAGTCCATGCAGACCATAACCCCAAACTAAACTAGTTCCACCTGCTTGCGCTTAGCCCATATCCCTCCAAACTTTTCTTAATCCTATCTTTATCCAAATGTCTTTTAAATGTTGTGACTGTACCCACAACCCTCTGGAAGTTCATTCCACACCTGAACCACTCACTGCTTTTTAAAAAAAAAAGTTCCTCGTCCTTTTTAAATCTTTCTCCTCTCACCCTAAAAATATGCCCCCTAGTCTTGAAATCCTCCACCATTGGAAAAAGATACCTGCCATTCCCCTTATCTATGCCCTGTGTGACTTAAAAACAAATTCCTGGAACGAAAGGAAAATTACTTGACGACAATATTCTGACTGACTCCTGTTCGGGTGATCATGACTTGTGTAGAGTCGGTGCAGCAGTGAACCATCGAGCAAAGAGAAAGCTTGTCTCTCTTTGGTGTGGATGTAGCGGAAAGTCTCTAGTGACAACTAGATGACTCCAGTCAACTTTCTTTGCAAAATTCCTATTGACTGAAGAATAAAACATCATTTAAAAAGAGTGAAAGGATGAATTCTCATTGAGTTAAATGAGGAGATCTTCGATATGCAAGTAACCCAATTCAGCAGCAAAGAATTAAAAAGGAATTGAAAGTAAGAGAAAGAAAACAACTAATGGAATTATGTGGCCGATACTGGTGACATTGAATTGTGTTCCCCGATTTCTTTTTTCACACTGAATGCCTAGGCCTTGTCTTTGTGTCTGTCAGTTCGTGAAGAGGGCAGTTTAAAAAGGGATGGAGTTTAAGGTGTAGAGTTACAGATTAGCAATTTGTACTTTAAAGACTTTTGATCATAATAAAGCTATTTTCTTGTTAAGTTGGTGAAAGTTGTCTTTTCACCTGGGTTCTCCAGCCAGTTAAATTGGGGATTTAGGTTAGTCTGAATCTTTTCACATTGGGATGACTCTAGAATCATGAGGCTTGATTCTAAAATGCTACCCAGTGATTTGGCAACAACGCCAATGGTGGAATGATGAAATAAAAACTAAACCAACTAGTTTTAAAGAAGTTTCAGCAGGTTAGACAGAATTTTCCAACCTGAAGCATTAATTCTGTTTCTGTCTCTCTCTGCACACGGTACTCCCTACCTGCTGAAAATTTGATTCCCTAGCTGTTTCAGTTTTTTATTTCCGATTTCACCTGAACTGTCCAAGTTGCAGGAAGAGAGCAGTCTTGGCAGGTCATAGGACTGGAGAACATTAGGGAGATGGGTTTGCCTATTTTCATGTAAAAGATTGGGTGAGCCAATGGTTAATGCAGGGATCCATGCTAAAGGAGAGGCAGTGCCCACAGGGAAAGGCAGAGAGTGCAAGAAGGACAATTTTAAATGAGTGTGTTTTTATTTTAAAAATCTAAACCTTGAACACAAGTTCTCAAGTACAATAAGTTCATTTTGTTCTGAATTGCTTCCCTGTGCAGTTTGAGGTCAACAGAAAAGCCAAGCACTGGGGTATGGAAGTGCAACGGGTGGACCTGATTCTGCACAGTGTGTTAAACGAACCGAAAGAGGATCAACCAGACTCCCAGACCCCTCCACCCAGCAGTCGACTAGACAAGCTTCCTGCTCCTCTACGGAAGTTGGCCACGCAAATGCTGCAAAGCAGACGATCTCCACAACCAGTGCAGCTTTCTTCACATTCCAGTGAGAGCGAAGGTGAGCTGAAGTTCTCTTTAACCAGACTGAATGAAAGCGTGTGATCAATTCACCTCCCTTGCCCCTGAGGCATCATTGAGCAGAGTTCAAGCTTTTGGTCTCCGTAGTTACTTTACTTGCCAGGTCTGCAGTTTAAACTCGTATTCCTGTTAATTGCTTGTATTTCAGGTTGCTGCTGCTAGTAGATCTTGGCATTCTGAGATTGTTATATCAGTCAGTAAGCCAGAAACACACAGTGCAGCCCTTTCCGAACCACTGGGGCAACTGAACTTGATCAAAACAAGCTAGAGAGCAAGAAACATGAGCATAAAGAGGGCTGCATTGCCAAGCTCGTATGCCACATATGCAAGGGTTGTAATTGAGGCAAGAGCAGTTGAAACCTCAAAGATGATACCGACCTAACTGGCATACAGGAGTATAGCCATCCTTGGGTAGGAATACAAACATTGACCTGTTTTACCTTCCCTAACCTTTGAGGCCGTTTGTAGTACCTCGTCCGTTCCCTTGTCTTAGATCAGGTCCCTAGACCAGGTCTGTGCAGTACAGCAATTCCCTAGACATCGGCAGCATTTTCATTTTCATAAAACAACTGCGAGTGTTGACAGACAAAGTGTGATAAAGAGGCATGGTCAGAGGATTTTAAGAAATAACTTTAAGGAGAAAAGTGGTGAGAGGCTAAGGGAGGGAATTCCATGACTTGGGACTGATCTAGCAGAAAGCAAGCCTGTTGTGCGTTGTTGTAGGGAGGACAACTGAAAATGCTTAAAAGGCCTGAATTAGAGAATGCAGAGACGGTTATAGTGCTGGGGGAAAACATCAGTAAAGTGATGGAAGGCATCATCAACAGTGCTATCAAGCAGCACCTGCTCACTGATGCCCAGTTTGGGTTCTGCCTGCTTCATTCAAACGTGGACAAAAAAGTTCAATTCCAGAGATGAGGTAAGAGTGATAGCCCTTGACACTAAGATTGCATTTGACAGAGTGTGGCATCAAGAAGCCTTAACAAAACTGAAATCAGTGGGTATTGAGATTGAAATCTTCCCTTCCATCACAAAGTCAGAAGTGGGGATGTTTGCCGATGATTGCACAATGTTCAGCGCCATTCATGACTCCACAGATACTGAAGCTGTCAGTATTCAAATGCAACAAGATCTGGACAATATCCAGGCTTGGGCTGACAAGTGGCAAGTAACATTTGTGCCACAGGAATGCCAGGCAATGAGCATCAGTAATAAGGGACAATCTAACCATCACCCCTTGACATTTAATGGTTTTATCATGACTGAATCCTCTTCTGTCAACATCCTACAGATTACCATTGACTAGAAATTCAACTGGACTCTCCATATAAATGGACTGTCTACAAGAGCAGTGCAGAGGCTAAGAATACAGCCACGAGTAACTTGCCACCTAACTCACTAAAGCCTGTCCACTATCTGCAAGGCATAAGTCAGGAGTATTTTGGAATGCTCCCCACTTGCCTGGCTGGGTGCAGCTCCAACAACAGAATAAGCTTAACACCATCCATGACAAAGCAGCCCACTAAATTTGCACTACATCCTCAAGCATCCACACTCTCAACCACTGACGCTAAGTAACAGCAGTGTGTGCTCTCTACAAGATGTGCTGCAGAAATTTAACAAAGATCCTCAGACAGCAGCTTCCATACCCATGACCACTTCAATCCAGAAAGACAAGAGCAGCAGATACCTGGGAACACCACCCCCTTCAAGTTTCCCCTCCGAGCCGCTCACCATCCTGACTTGGAAGTATATCACTGTTCCTTCAGTGTCATTGGGTCAAAATCCTGGAATTCCCTCCCTAACAGCATTGTGGGTCTTAACCTACAGCACATGGACTGCAGCAGTTTCAAGAAGCCAGCTCACCACCACCACCTCAAGGGCAAATAGGGACGGCCAATAAATGCTGGCTAGCCAGTGATATCCATGTCCTAGGGGTGAATAAAAACAAATACGGAGATGGAAGGGGACTTGCCATGGAGGGATTTGAATACAAGAACGTGTATTTTAGATTTGAATAATTGCTGCCCTCCGAGCTAGTGTACGTCAGGATCACAGGGCTGAGATACATGAATCTGAGTCAGGCTCCAAGCAGCAGATAAGTTTTGCTTACAGATGGGGGAAGGTGGCATATTTGTAAATTTAAGTTCTGCCTTAACCAGATGACCAATCTCTCTGAAATGCTGTTTGAGTTTCTTGCAGACAGTGTTCGGACCTCATCTGAAATGTCTGAATCTGAAGATCTAGAGAGTGACATTGTCAATCCAGACTGGATACTTTCTAAAGTGAAAGCATTCCTTTCTGAGGACCTCGTGAAACAGATTGGAGCCCGTTATCTTTTCACTGTTAACCAGAAGGATGGGACTCAAAATTTGTATTTTCTGGACCTTAGCAGAGGTGAGCTAAATGTTTCTTCATTTGCATTGTGGAATACAGCTTTGTTTAAATGTAATACTAATGGCAAAATTACTTCTGTGGAAGTTTGTATTCTCATTACACTAATGTGAAGATTGTAATTAGATTTACTGGCTGAAATGCACCTGTATGGTGAAGAAAGCCTTTTGCACACTTGCCTTCATTGGTCAGAGCATTGAGTACAAGAGTTTTTTTTTCTTTATTCATTCTCGGGATGAGGGTGTCGTTGGCTTGGCAGCATTATTTTATTGCCCAGAGGGCAGTTAAGAGTCAACCACATTGCTGTGGGCCTGGAGTCACATGTAGGCCAGACCAGGTAAGGATGGCAGTTTCCTTCCCTAAAGGACATTAGTGAACCAGAGAGGTTTTTCCGACAATCGACAATGGATTCATGGTCATCATTAGGCCATTAATTCCGGATATTTATTGAATTCAAATTCCATCATCTGCCGTGGCGGGATTCGAACCCAGGAGCCCAGAACATTATCTGGATTAACAGTCCAGTTTCGATGTCATGTTGTGGCTATACAAGAATTGGTGGGGCCACTTTGGGAATACTGTGTACAATTCTGCTATAGGATGGATGTTATTAAAATGGAAAGGGTGCAGGAAAGATTACAAGGATGTTACCGAGACTGGAGGGTTTGAATTATATGGCGAGGCTGGATAAGCTGGGACTTTATTCTCTGGAGCGTAGGAGGCTAAGATTTGACATTGTAGAGGTTTGTAAAATCACGAGGGCCATAGATAAGGTGAACAACCAAAGTCTTTCCCCAGGATAGGAGAGGCCAAAACTAGAGGACATAGGTTTAAGGTGAGAGGGGAAAGATATAAAAGGGACATTAGGGGCAACTTTTGCCCCAGAGCGGCACCTGTGTGGAATGAACTGCCAGGGAAAGTGGTAGATACAGGTAGTTACAACATTTTAAAATGCATTTGGATAGGTACATGAATAGGAAAGATTTAGAGGGGTATGGGCCAAATGCAAGCAAATGGGACTAGATTTAGTTTAGGAAACCTGGGTGGGTACGGACGAGTTGGACCGAAGGGTCAGCTTCCATGCTGTATGACTCTTAACAGTGCTGTTCTGTTATTTGTTAAGCTGACATTGTCAATAATAGAGTATCAAAACATGGATGATGTGCTGAAGCTGTATGAATCATTAGTTCGACCGTAGCTTGAGCACTGTGCGGTTCTGGTCACTTCATTGTAGAGAGGATGTAATTGCAGAGGTCAGAGGAGAGTAATGAAGATGTTGCCAGGACTGCAAAAATGCAACTGTGATGGAAGATTAGCCAGATTGGGGATGCTGAGGGACTTTTTGATTGAAATATGCAAAATTCTGAGGGGTCTGGATAGAATGCATGGAAGGGCTGATTTATCTTCACAGAGAAGGCAGTGACTAGTGACACAGATTTAATGTAGCTGATGGAAAGATTGGTGGTGGGGGGGGCATGCATGTTGGGTGTTTGGGGGATGTTTGGGTGGGGTTGGATAGTGGGGGATGTGTGGTGAGGAAAAATGTTTTCATTTGGAGTGTGGTAGGTGTCTGCAATTCAACTGCCTGAAAGGATGGGGTAGAGGCAGAAACCCTCAGTTCATTCGAAAGGTGTTGGACAAGCACCTGAAATCCATGACCCTGCAGGACTACAGACGAAATACTGGCAATTGGGAAAAGGCCAGGGTGGCTCGGTTTTTGGCCGGTGTAGGAGCGGCCTTTGTTGGTGCTGTGAACTTTCTATATACTGTCTCATCGATTTGTACAGAGATATTATTACGCACCTCTAGTTCAGGTGGGACTTGAATCTGGGCCTCATTGCTCAGGGGTAGCCATGCTTCCACCAGGGCCCTTTATTGTAAAATTGCTATGATTCTATGGTAATGAGCCATTTAATGAGCTGAAATCTCTATGGTGTTTGTTAGCCTGCAGCACATTGACTACAGTGTAGCTACCACATAAAGCTTGGGAACCTTCTCATATAGTTTCAATTTGCATTTGTGTTGATTTTTAAGAGGCTCTAAAAGGGGAAGAACCACAACTAAAGCCTCCTCCACCTGCTTTCAGCGAGGATATTGGCACTTGGTAGGTATTTGCATCCTAAAACCAATTTAGTAAAAAATTCCACCAACAAGAGAATGAAGTTAAGAATATGCCTTTTTAAGATGATTAGATTTTGGCAACAAATTCCATAAAAATGCACCATATGTCTGAAGATCAAACACAGATGGGGTAAGGTGTTCTCTTGAGATTGCAGCTAATATTTCTATGTAACAAACACAGTGAATATTGGAGAAGCACAGGAGATCTTGCAGCATCTGTTCAGAGAAATAGTCAACACTGAGTCCAGTATGACTGTTCTTCAGAAGAGTTCTGAAGAGTCCCACCAGAGTTTGGTTTGAATGCTGAGTTTCTCCAATATTCTCTGTTTGATTCAGACTTTCAGCATACCCAGTACTTTGCTCATATTTCTGTGCCCAGAGGACTCTTGATGCAATAAAAGACTTCATTGTCCAGCGTCAATGTTCTTCAATTAAATGCAAGCAAAAACTAAATCTTCCAGTGTAAGAGATTAATTACTGACTGTCTATAACTGCCTCTCATTAACCTTCAGATTCTGGAAGTGCAGGCTACGGCATGCCTGAAGGAGACCCTGATGTCACTCTGGAAGTGACAGAAGACACCATGCAGGCTTTGTTCTCAGGGGACCTCAAGCCCTTTTCTGCCTACATGAGTGGACGGATACGCATACAAGGTGATTTGAAACTCGCAATGAAGCTGGAGGATCTCATCAAGAAGCTGAATCGATGATGCAGCAAAAAAGTGCACACCCTGCCTGCCCCAGACACAGACTCCCAAGTATCATGTCTTGTATTTTATTTATTTTTGCTAATTTTGCTGTACTATCGTATTGTTCGTAGTTTTTATGGATGCATTTTGGTTATAAAAAATATTTGTAATGCTAGATTGGACTGCCATGCTATACTATCTAATTCTCCGGTATGCGGCAGCAGTTAGCTTTGCATGCCTCTGAATCTCCCAAGTGTCTCTAAGGAGTGAGTGGTTATGGTCCGGAATATGTTGCCTGAGGATGCTATTAGAGGCAGATTCAGTTGTGACTTTTAAAAAAGGAACTGAATCTGCCCTTGGAGAGGAGATTTGCTGGGCAGTGGGACTGATCGGATGACTCTTTTAAAGGTCTGGCAAGAGATGTTAGGCCGAGTGGCAGCATCTTGCAAGATCACTCAAGTGGCTGAAATTCTTGTGGTTTTGTACAAGTCTAACAATGAAGATTAATTAGACCATAGTGCCTTAGTCCTTTTATTTAAAAAAAGTAATAATTTAAATATTTGGTGGATTAGCAATTCTATTACTCACAGTAAAAATTAACCTCTAGATGATTTTGATAATGCTGTCCATTGGAGCTGCCAGTTTTCCTATGTTAGTGGTAACTTGCGTCAAAAAGTACTTCATTCATTACAAATTGCAATGGGCCATTCTGAGGCAATGAAAGGCGTTATGTAAATGCAAGTGTCCTTACTTTTTAATGCTGACTTCTCTGAAGGTGAATTGCAGGAAACACTATTAGCTAGGTCTGTGAATGCTTGAAAGCTAATTTTGTCTTAATTTTTACTGTCAAATTAATTTAGAGTTAAAACAATGGGAAGAGCATAGTGCAATATTGATTGTTTATAAAAATGTAATCAAGCTGAAAGAGAAATTCTGATCGATTTCTGAATTTATTAGCTGCAATATGAAATCCAAGATACCAAATTTCTGTACTGGGATTGAAATAAATTGTCACAGTTTGTAAATTTGGAGCCTGTGATTATAATTTGCTCATGGACGTTATGAATACTCTGCCATATCCAGTGTGCTATACCCATTTTCTAGAATTGGCTGCCATGTTCATGAAATTGTCTTAAATGCTTGTTTCTTTTCACCATGTTTTTTTACCGACCAGATATCTTGCAACTGAGAGCAGAGGTGCAGAGCCCTGTCAAGTTTCTCTTAGTATGTTGGTGTCAGTGTGTGGAGTCCAAACCAAGTTTATGCCCCACCATGGGGTATGGCACCCCACCCCTCAAGTGCAGGTCTTGCTTGGCTCAGTGTGGTAAAGGAAAGCCACTTCTTTGTCTGACTCGAAGGGACTCTTGTATTGAACAAGAAGTTGTTCATTGGCCTTTAGTAACTAATTGCATTGATATGATGAACACTATTACAGAAACTGAGGAGGATCAGGTGTTAGGTCTCACTCCTTCCAGTTCTTAAGCTGATCTGCCCATAAGTACATAAGACATCAAAGTGGGTGCTTAAGTCTTATCCCTTTCAGAGCCTTGTGCCCTTATACAACAGGTGTTACTGGCTGAGCCGGTATTTGTTACCCATCCCTAATTGTTGCAGAGATTGTGGTGAGATACCACCAGGCATGATTTCTCACAGCCTCTAAATAACTCTTTAGGAAAAGATGCTCACTCTCCTGTCTGGGGAGCCTCCTTAGTACAGAAACCATTGAGTCTAAAATAGCTATTAAAGGATGCTGTCGTGTTTGACATGAAACTAGAAACAATAAGCAGGAATAGTGCATTCAGCCCCTCGAGTTTGCTCTGCTGTCCATTATGATCATTGTTGGTCCTCAGTGCCATATTTCTCTCCTTACCCCTTGACTCCTTTTAAAATGTTACTAAATATTTTCAAGAAAGTTTTTTTTGACTTGGCCTCCACAGCCTTTTGTGGTAGAGAATTCCACAGTTCACTGTCCATTTGAGTGAAGAAATATTTCCTCATCTCAGTTCTGAATGGCCTATCCTGAATCCTGACAGTATGACCCCTGACTTCCCAACGAGGAAAAATATCTTCCTGTTTAGTCTGTCCAGACCTGTGAAATATCCATATTTCAATCCGATCCATTTCTCATCCTTCTAAACTCTCTAGTGAGGTCTCAGCCTGGGATCAGAAGGCCTAATACAAACTTCACTATTTCAACTACCATTCTAATGTAATCTGCATTGCCAATTATACTTGAAGATCTTGATTGTCATCTTGGTTCAGATGAAACTTTTTGATTTCTCAGAAGGCAAGAGAAAGGGATAACTCTACCTTATACCTCACTATCTCTCTACCACTAATCCAAAGCTGTTGGATTGACTTTGTCTCTTTGCTTTCCAGCCCTGGTATTCACCTTCTCTTTGATCTTTTGTCTCTCAGGTTTCCACAAATTTTCTGTTGTGAATTGCGTCCAATACTATTCCAAAATTAATGTTTTAACGAAGATCTGTTGCTCAGGTTGCAGTTGGAGTGTTGGTTGGTAAATTACCATACAGCAACTGCGAGAAACACTGCATAGGACAGACGGGCAGAAAACTCGTCACCAGGATACATGAACACCAACTTAGCAGCAAAATAGCACGACCAACTCTCCCTCGTTTCAATCCATAGAAGGACATCAATTTGACTGGGACAAAGTTACAGCTCCAGGACAAGTGAGACAAAGACAAACACGAGAATTCCCGGAGTCCTGTTTTTCAACCACCGGTGCAATTAACAAACGTGTTGAAATAGACCCCATCTACATACCATATTGGTACAAAACTGGAAACAAGACAGCCCACTATGACAGACCGGACCATATAAATTCAGAGCAGGACAGAACAACAGGACTTCAACAGAGGCTACACAGCACTGATAATGTCACCTACAAGGGAGACGAAATGTTTGCATGAAAACCAGTCAGCTCGGTGAACCAAGCAACAACTCCAACTGTACCCAATTGGAACTAAAATTGAAGTATTTGCCACAGTGATGGTTGTTTTGGTTAAAAGGCTTGCCAAACTTAATCCCCAGTGCCAAGTTTGTTGAATAATCCTTTCTTACAGATCCCTGTCAAATCTATTTATGATTGGAGTTGGGCTTTGTGGTTCCTCCAATAAAGGCCAGGTAAGGGCATCCAAGTGCCAGAGGAACAACCTAATGGGATATATCCCAGAATATTGAGGGAGGCAAGAGAACAAATTGCTGGAGCATTGACAAACCTCTTTGTATCCTCTTTGGCCACAGGTGAGGCCCAGAGGACTGGAGAATAGCGGATGTTGTCCCAGGGTGGTGGGGGCAATCCAGGAAATTACAGGCCTATGAGTCTCGTGTCGATGGTAGGGAAATTATTGGAAAAAATTCTCAGGGCCAAGACCTATAAGCATTTAGAAGCAAAACATCATGGTTTTTTGCGAGGGAGGTGTTGCCTCACTAACCTTGATCGAGTTTTTGAAGATGATTGAGAGAAAAGCGGGTAATCTACATGGACTTCAGTAAAGCCTTTGACAAGGTCGCGGATGGCAATTTGGTACAAAAGATGAAATCACATGGTATTAGGGGTAAGCTGGCAAAATGAATACAGAACTGGCTTAGTCATGGGAGACAGAGGGGTAGGGGTGGAAGAATGCTTTTCGGAATAGAGGGCCGTGACTAGTTGTGTTCCACAGGGATCAGTGCTGGGACCTCTGCTGTTTGTATCTACAGAAACTATTTGGAAGAAAGTGTAGCCAGTCTAATAAGTTTGCGGACGATGCAAAGGTTGGTGGAATTGCGGATAGTGAGGAGGATTGTCAGACGATACAGCAGGAGAGAGATCAGTTGAAGGCTTGGGCAGAAAAATGGCAGAAGGAGTTTAATCTGGACAAACGTGAGGTGATGCATTTTGGAAAGTCAAGCATTGGTGGAAATTATACAGTGAATGACAGAACCCTTAAGAGTATTGATTATGCAGAGAGATCTGGGTGTGCAGGTCCGCAGATCACTGTATGCAGCAGCACAGGTAGATAAGGTAATGAAAAAGGCCTGTGGCATGCTTGCCTTCACTGGAAGGGGCATTAAGTATAAGGATAGACAAGGGGAGAAATCAGTTAATGTTTTGGTTCAGTATCTCTCACCCAGAAGATAACCTTGTTCCCCGAAGTATGGATGTACTTCCAGAGTACAAAACTTTCACCTGAGACTTTGATATTCTTGAGCCTCAGCAACCTTAGAAATGACAACATGGTGTGTCCGGTGCACTTGGTCTTAGTACACAATGTATATTTTTGGAATCAGTCCAACTCTTAGAAATTCTGTTATGTGCATCGCATCAAACAAATGGCAAAATTAATCTGGCTAGAAGTAAACAAAAAATGCTGGAAATCACAGCAGGTCAGGCAGCATCCATGGAGAGAGAACAAGCTAATGTTTTGAGTCTAGATGACTCTTCATCAGCTCTGATGACATGCCAGGGAATTCCTGGAGGCCTAGCATTCCAACTGGAACTCCTTAACAAACACATTGAACTGGACCCGATATACAACCACTGAAAAACAGAACCGGAATACCAACCACTGCAGTGAACTGAGGCATATAAATAACAAGTGGGACAGAACACCAACGCTTCACCGGAGGTGCACTGACAATGTTACCTAGCAGGGTGACTAAACGTCTGCAATCAAACACACCGGCTCAGTGAGCGAGACTGCAACCTCATCGAGTTCAACAATTTTAGGTCTTGAGGCACCTTCTCCCCTGCCCTTGCCCTTACCCCAACCCCAACACACCAGGCCTTGTTATCACATTGGTCTGTTATCACACACTGTCCATTGTTAGCTACTAATAGTCCCCATTAACAGCTATTCATTCTCCCAAGCTGATCGTTAGCCTCTCATAAAATCAGAGTTGTACATGCTGACCAGATATCGTAAATTAATCTAATCCAATTTACCACCATTTTACCCAAATTCCTTTTGACCCGTCCTATTGATGTACACATGCAGATGCCCTTTAAATGCTGTAATTGTACCCATCTCCACCATTTCCTCTGGCAGCTCACTCCATACATGCACCACCTGCTGCAAAAATGTTGTCCCTTGGAAACTTCTTTGTTTGTCCAACTGTTCTCTCTGTTTCGGTTCTGTCTCCACCTATTGTTTACACCTTCCCCCACCCCATATTCTGCATAAAAATATCATTTTTTTTCCTAGCTACCTTGAGCTCTGAAGAAGTGTCACTGGACCCAAAACGTTAACTCTGATTTTACTCCACAGATACTGCCAGACCTGCTGAGATTTTTCAGCAACTTCTGTTATTGTTTACAATTAACCTTGCATCAGCTGCTGCCTCTAAATCATGTTTTCAATGCAGACAAGCGTTTGCTATTGGTGTGGGGAGCTGGCCTGAGCAAAACTAGCTCCGGTGGGAGCAAACCCCAAATTCTATGTTGGTTAGAAACAAGGGTAAGACCTTCAGCCCCTCAATCCTGTTCCACGATTCAATTGCAAAGCATCAACATTCCTTCAATATCACTGCGTCAAAGTCTTAGAACTCTCATCCTAACATCACTGTGGGTGTACAAACGACACAATCACAGACTGTAGCAGTTCAAAAAGGCAGCTCACTACACTATGGAAGGGTGCTTTGAAATGGGTAATAACAGTTGGCCTAGGCCACATCCAAGCAATGAGTTTAAACAGGAAGAACTTGGCTCATCAACCTGTCGACTCTGTTTACCTGCCTTAGCTGTAAATCTCTTATTAATAAAAAGATATCTACCTCAGTCTCAAAAAATTAAATCAGTGCAGGCAATCTTTATATGTGAGTATGAGCAGAGAAATAACGGATATTGTCAAGTTAATTTACACATGGAGGCAGCCATTAAACCCCTTGAACCTGTACTTGTATTGAATTGCATCACAGCTGTTCTGTATATTAATTCCATTTCTACACTTTGATTTTGGATCACAGGTGATTGGGGAAAATAAAAGAATTAAGCAGCTCATGAGGGCCTCTTGTAGCGCAG